GAGTGGGGTTTGCAGGGAGGAGCGGGAGGAAGAGGGGGAGGACTGTGGGGCCCTCTCAGCTTGGCTGTTTGCTTGCAGACGTTTCATTACCCAACTAGGTAACTTCATCAGTGGAAGGATTTTGAAGGCTGCGGGAAATTCCTTCTCAATTTTGCTCCCCACCCACCCGCCCACCCTGCCAAACTTCTTCTATTCACTCCAGCTCAGCTCCTGGAAGTTCAGAGTTCAGCTTAAGCTACCTGCCTACGCTTTTGTCCCCGATTCAGCAATCTTTGCAAAAGACAGACATTCCTGAGTAAAGATAGACAGGTCTTTCTAGGTGAAATTCCTTCCTTTTAGGCCATGCCTTCTTTTTAACAAGCTCTCTTCTAAACTCTGTGCTGGGAGCAGGTTGGGAAAGTGGGTGAATGGTTGGACTCCTTGAGAAGAATGGAAGGACTGGTTCACATGACCCAAAGGCATAATATAATAATTGCGTAACAGAGTTGGAAGGGACTTTAGAGGCCTTCTAGTCCAACCCTCTGCTCACTCAGGGAGATATGTTTGGCTTACTTTGATTTGTAAACTCTAGTTTATGGCCCAGTGTTTGGTGTCAGCTCAGCCAACTGACCTTCCTAGATTGGACTAGATCAGGAGTCCCCAAATTCTTCTACCCCTTGACCCTTGCATGCAATTTCAAATTGTCCGTTGACCTGCAAATATTTATTATGGGAAAATAATTTGATAAATGCGCTACTTTGACCAACAGGACTACAAATAATATTAACTAGAGCCAAAGGTGCTTCTTTCAGGAGGCAATTGGACTTTCTTGGTTTTTTTCCTTTGAAGACGCTTCGCTTCTCATCCAAGAGGCTTCTTCAGCTCTGATAGTATAGTAGGGAATGGAAGGTGCCAGAGCTGAAGAAGCTTCTTGACGAGACCGTCTTCTGCCACCAGTAGCCTCCCACCGGCCAGTCCGCTCCCACAGAGAGGGTCTCCTCAGGGTGCCATCAGCCAAATTATGTCGGCTGGCAACACCCAGGGGGAGGGCCTTCTCTGTGGGAGCCCCAGCCCTGTGGAATGAACTGCCCAGTGGTGGGTTCCTCCCGGTTCAGTCCGGTTTGGCCGAGCCGGTAGCGGTGACGATATGACGTTGCCGAACCGGTTCTCCCCCCCGCGCCCACCCACCCACCCAGGTTATTCTTACCTTTTATTTGGTCCCACCCCCAATCTATTGCTGCCTCCTGAGTCCCAGCTGGTGACTAGAGGGGAAAAAAAACTGTTTAAACTCTTGCCGGGGGGCTTCAAAGGGCCGCCCTACAGCTGATCAATGTTAAAAGCAAACAAATGAGTTGGGTCGTAAGTCCGAGGACTGGTCGTAAGTGCGAGGACCTTCCAGAAATGACTGACCAGCTAGCCACGCCCATCTAGTCACATGACACCCCCCAAGCCACACCCACAAAATAAGCCACACCCACAGAACTGGTAGTAAAAAAAATTAGAACCCACCCCTGGAACTGCCCCCAGAAATGCATAAGATCTCCGACCTCCGTGTATTTCGCTGTGCCGTCAAAACCTTGTTCCGCCAGGCCGGGCTATCAATGTAAAGATTTTAATTGGTTTTAAATATGGGATTTTAAATTTGGGAGTTTTAAAGTTGGGCCAATTATTTAATAATTTTAATAATTTTTAAATGTTGTCTGTCCTTGTGCTTTTAATCAGGCTGTACACCGCCCTGAGTCCTTCGGGAGAAGGGCGGTATAGAAATAAAATTAATAAATAAATAAAATAAAGAAATAAATGAGAAGTGACACGTCTTCAAAGGAAAACGAGAAAGCCCAGTTGCCCCCTGAAAAAGCACCATTGGGACAGCCATGACCTGGATGATTGAGAATCTCTACAGAGTATTAACTAGATAACCTGTGATTTGGTGGATTATCCTTTCAGAGATATAACTAAGATTAGGAGAAATTTCCTGACAGTAACAACAATTTATTTAACTTCAGAAGTTTTAGGCGCTCTTAAGAAGAGACTGGACTGCCATCTGTCGGAAATGGGGTAGGGTCTCCTGCTTGGGCAACAGTGGTGGTTTCAAAATTTTTCACTACCAGTTCTGTGGGTGTGGCTTGGTGGGCGTGGCATGACTTGGTGGGTGTGGCTTGGTGGGTGTGGCAGGGGAAGGATACTGTAAAATCTCTATTCCCTCCCAATCAGCTGGGACTTGGGAGGCTGAGAATAGATGGGGGCGGGGCCAGACATAATTTTTACTACCGGTTCTGTGGGTGTGGCTTGGTGGGTGTGGCTTGGTGGGCATGGCAGGGGAAGGATACTGTAAAATCTCCATTCCCACCCCACTCTGAGGGAAGGATACTGCAAAATCTCCATTTCCTCCCAATCAGCTGGGACTCGGGAGGCAGAGAATAGATGGGAGTAGGGCCAGGCAGAATTTTTACTACCGGTTCCCCGAACTACTCAAAATTTCCGCTACCGGTTCTCCAGAACTGGTCAGAACCTGCTGAAACCCACCTCTGTTGGGCAGGGGGTTGGACTAGATGACCTACAAGGTCCCTTCCAACTCTGTTAATCTAACAAAGTCCACGGGGAAAACCAGGTTTGTGTAACGACCGTATGATTCACTGAAAAACTGCAGTGATTTGTTTAACAACTGTGGGGAAAAAAAAAAAGAGAGAGAGAAAAGGTCGTAAGATGGGGCCAAACTGCCTTGCTTAGACGTCAAAATGTTGGCCTCCGTTGCAGTCGTAAATCGAGGACTATCTGTACACAGCTCTGATGTGGCTGGGTGAAAACCGAAAGGAGATCGCGCTGCTAACGTGGCCGGAGGCAAAAGGGAAATTTCTGTGCTTCAAAGATGAGTATTACCATTGGTGTGTAAAATGTCAAAGCCATGTACCGAAGAAAACTTGATGTTGTCAGAATAAAAATGTCATGTCCAAACATTGACTTTCTGGGAATCAGCCATCTGCAGGGGATTGGAAAAGGGTCACTTCACATCAGAAGCACAGCATCGGATCTCCCTTCCAGGCAAGGCCATCCATCCTCAAGCCCAACAAGGAAGCCATCATGATGGACACAGCTAGTCCTCAACTTACGGCCCCAATTAAGCCCCAAATTTCTTTTGCTAAAGCAAGAATATTGTTCACTTTCGTCCCCTTTTATGACCTTCCTTGCCACAGTTGTTGAGTGAATCGCTACGGTTGTTAAAGTGAGTAACACAATCATTAAGGGAATCTGGTTTCCCTTTTGACTTGGCTTGTCAGAAAGTCGTAAAAGGTGAGCAACTTTAAGAGGGGTGGGCTTCCACTCCCAGAATCCCCCAGCCAGCATGCTTTAAGAGGGGTGGGCTTCCACTCCCAGAATTCCCCAGCCAGCTTGCTTTAAGAGGGGTGGGCTTCCACTCCCAGAATTCCCCAGCCAGCTTGCTTTAAGAGGGGTGGGCTTCCACTCCCAGAATCCCCCAGCCAGCATGCTTTAAGAGGGGTGGGCTTCCACTCCCAGAATTCCCCAGCCAGCTTGCTTTAAGAGGGGTGGGCTTCCACTCCAGCCAGCATGCTTTAAGAGAGGTGGGCTTCCACTCCCAGAATCCCCCAGCCATCCTGTTTTAAGAGGGGTGGGCTTCCACTCCCAGAATTCCCCAGCCATCCTGCTTTAAGAGGGGTGGACTTCCACTCCGAGAATTCCCCAGCCAGCTTGCTTTAAGAGGGGTGGACTTCCACTCCCAGAATCCCCCAGCCATCCTGTTTTAAGAGGGGTGGGCTTCCACTCCCAGAATTCCCCAGCCATCCTGCTTTAAGAGGGGTGGACTTCCACTCCCAGAATTCCCCAGCCATCCTGCTTTAAGAGGGGTGGACTTCCACTCCCAGAATCCCCCAGCCATCCTGTTTTAAGAGGGGTGGGCTTCCACTCCCAGAATTCCCCAGCCATCCTGTTTTAAGAGGGGTGGACTTCCACTCCCAGAATTCCCCAGCCAGCATGCTTTAAGAGGGGTGGACTTCCACTCCCAGAATCCCCCAGCCAGCCTTGCTTTAAGATGCACTCCTCTTAAAGCATAGGGAATTCTGGGAGTGGAAGTCCGCCCATCTTAAAAGCCGCTCCCTCCCTCAAAGCAAATAAGTGGAAGATTTTGCTGCTACAAAATAACAACACATTTAAATAGATAACACAAACACGCGTCCCTTTCCTCCCTCGGGGCTTGGAAACTCATCCTCCTAACCCTCGTGTCAGCCATTTCCTCCCCCCCACACCGTGTTTTTGTTTTTTTTTTACCAAAGAACCCCCAACAGGCTCCCCAAAGAGAGCTCCAAGCGGCTCCCCAAAACCAAAAGCCAGCCTTTCTTCACCAAGAGAACCCCAAAAAACGTCAGTTCTGACGACGCGTGGAGCCCCCCACCCCATCCCCTCAGGCTGGTATCGCGTGTAAAGCGCGGTCGTGGGAATGTTGCGCGTCTATTTTTCTGAGGGGAGAGTTGGGAAGATGCTTTTGAGGCGGGGGGGGACGGGGAGGCGAGTGCCAACCAACCCCTCCGTCCTCCCGAGGGGAAGCTCAGCGGCCCTTCGGGGGAGAAAACCCCGCCTGAGGGGACGTGAGGGGAAAAAAGAAATCTCGGGGTCGCTTTAAGGCGCCGTTTGTTATCCTCCCGCCCGCCTCACATGCTGGCGAGGCCTCCGCGCTTCCCATTGGCTGACGGGGCCGCCCAGCTGTTGCCTTGCCCTCCCAGCTGCCTGGGGGGGGGGGGGAGAGGGTGGGGGGGGGGGGCCTCCCTCCCCCTCTCCCTCTTCCCCATTGGCCCTTCTCTCCAGAGCCGGCCGCCACCTCGCGCCCAACCCGCTGGGTGTTGCTAGGTGCCCATCCGCCACGATTGGCCAGCTCACCTGGCCATCACAGGGCTAACGTGGGGAGAGGAGGGGTCGGGAGGAGGAGAAGAGAGGCGGGCCTTCCCCGCCTCCTATAAAAGGGCAGGGAGTCCCGGGGAGCGGAGCCAGATAAAGCAGGGGCTGCTTCGGGTGTCAACAGCTGCAGAGCTGGAGGAGGCTGGCGCTGTTCGGGGTACCGTCCGCCGTCTACCTTCCGCGGGCGGCTGCAGACGGTCCCGCGTCGGGCAGGTGAGTCCGGCGGCCGGGATGGAGAAGAGGAGGAGGATGATGATGATGATGATGATGATGATGATGAAGGATTTTTTTTGGGGGGGGGTCGTGGTTGCAATTGGGGAAGGGTTTAGGAAGCGCCCCGCGGAGGAGCGTTTTGGGGTGCTCGCCTACCCGGCTGCCTTGCAAGCCTGGGCAATGTTTGGGGAGGGAGGGAGGGAGGGGGAGATCCTCCGGCGCTTGGGCCGGGAAGGGTCGGCTTTCCCCTGCAGCGATCGCAGCTGGAGCGATGCCCGCCGGAGCGCCCCGCGTTGGAGAAGCAAGCGACGTGACGGCCCTGTCCAAGCGCGCTGTTCCCCCGACTGGGTTGGCTGGGTTATCCGGCGCGGCGTCCTGGCTGGCTTTCCCCCCGCCGCCGCCGCCGCCGCCCGAGGCGTCTTTTCGGCTGGGCTTCCTGTCTTCCCTCGTAGTAACTCCGGAGTAGCTGCGATCGGCTTACTCCGGAGTCACCCCGTTTTGCACCCCACTCTGCGTTTGCATCTGAGCTTCCCAGCCTCTCTTCTAATCTCCCCACCACCACCAACTCCTTTGAGAAGTTTTGGAGGTGTCTTGACTGCTCTTGGCTTTGGAGGTTCTCTTTTATCCTTCCTCTTGCTTTGGGGCTCTGATTTGGTTTCTTGCTGGTTTTAAAGGGCTGGGGAGAGACTGGCTGGTTGGGTTACAAAGTCTGATCAAAGGATCCTTTCTCTTGCTGACTGCCAAGTTGTGAGGCTGATTATGCCAACCGGAATAACCAGAGTTGGAAAGGAACTTGGAGGTCATCTAGTCCAACCCTCAAGCAGGCGGATAACAGAATAAAAAGGGTTGGAAGGGACCTTGGAGGTCATCTAGTCCAACCCTCGAGCAGGCGGATAACAGAATAAAAGGGTTGGAAGGGACCTTGGAGGTCATCTAGTCCAACCCTCGAGCAGCGGATAACCGAATAAAAGGGTTGGAAGGGAACTTGGAGGTCATCTAGTCCAACCCTCAAGCAGGCGGATAACAGAATAAAAGGGTTGGAAGGGACCTTGGAGGTCATCTAGTCCAACCCTCGAGCAGGCGGATAACAGAATAAAAGGGTTGGAAGGGAACTTGGAGGTCATCTAGTCCAACCCTCAAGCAGGCGGATAACAGAATAAAAGGGTTGGAAGGGAACTTGGAGGTCATCTAGTCCAACCCTCGAGCAGGCGGATAACCGAATAAAAGGGTTGGAAGGGACCTTGGAGGTCATCTAGTCCAACCCTCGAGCAGGCGGATAACCGAAAAGGGTTGGAAGGAACTTGGAGGTCATCTAGTCCAACCCTCGAGCAGGCGGATAACCGAATAAAAGGGTTGGAAGGGAACTTGGAGGTCATCTAGTCCAACCCTCGAGCAGGCGGATAACAGAATAAAAGGGTTGGAAGGGACCTTGGAGGTCATCTAGTCCAACCCTCGAGCAGGCGGATAACCGAATAAAAGGGTTGGAAGGGACCTTGGAGGTCATCTAGTCCAACCCTAGCAGGCGGATAACAGAATAAATGTGTTGGAAGGGACCCTGGAGGTCATCTAGTCCAACCCCCTGCTCAAGCAGGAGACCCTATACCATTTCAGACAAATGGCTCTCCAGTCTCATCTTAAAAACCTCCAGTTGTTGAAGCACCCACAATCACTGCTTGTCTCCTGCGAGCAGCTTGTCATCTCAGCTCTTGTCCCCAATTTAGTAACCAAAAATCTATTTTATTAATTTATTTTATTACATTGATGTCCTTCTCGGCATTACGGAAAGGAAGCCCGTGAGTATAAAAAGCACAATCGTTTTCAATCTTCATTCAGATTCATTGTATTGTGTGTTGGCTGCCTTGTAAATGTGGTTCTGGGGTCTTCCATCTTTGTAAAAGTTTGCCTGGAGGGTTTTTAAAAGCCTGTTTTCATTCTTTTTCACCCTTTGCTGAAGGGTAAATGGAGCAATATATTCAAATATACTTGGGGGGGAGGGGTTCCCCAGATGGGAAGGGAGAATTTCATTTTTTTTAAGATTCAGGCCTTGAGGAAAAGGCTGTGTTTTTGAAATGGAAGTAACTTTTAACAGTTCATTGTCTCCTAACTCAGTTTGTGTGTGAGTGCTTTGCAGGAGAAGAATTGGGTTGATTGTTCTAAAACACCTTTTCCAGCTGGCACATTTGAATAAAATGTGTTAGCTGGAAAAGGTGTCTTAGATCAATTCTAAGCAGAAGCTGCAGCTTGCTAAGTAAATAACCAAAATTAACAAACACAGTTTCTTGGAAAAGATGCGAGCAGATTTGATGGTAGTTTCTGGAGAAAAAAAAAATGTTGGGTGCAGAGAAGAGTAATCTAATAGTAAAAACACTCTTCCTAAACAGTGTGTTAATTTTTGCAAGGCTGCAATCCAAGCAAGCAAAAAAAAAAAAAAATCCAAAGTTCCATCAGTTTGCATTTATATGGGTGAGATTTACAGATTAACAGAGTTGGAAGGGACCTTGGAGGTCATCTAGTCCAACCCCCCGCCCAAGCAGGAGACCCTACACCATTTCTGACCGATGGCAGTCCAGTCTCTTCTTGAAAGCCTCCAGTGATGAAGCTGCCACAACCTCTGAAGGCAACTTCTGTTCCATGGGTTGATTGTTTCTCACTGTCATAAAATTTCTCCTTATTTCTAGGTTGAATCTCTCCTTGTTCAGTTTCCATCCATTATTCCTTGTCTGGCCTTGGAAAATAGCTTGACCCCCTCCTCTCTGTGGCAGCCCCTCAAATATTTGAACACTGCTATTATGTCTCCACACTGGTCCTTTCATATCTTTGGACAAAATTCTCTTTTTTTAAAAAAAAGAAGAAGCAGCTAGCTGTACTGTTTTTAAGCACCCTTGCAATCTTCAAGATTGCATTTGAGCAGGTTTGAAGTTTCCAACCTGCTGTGCAGCAAGGGTTCTGTAGTCCACCCCTGGCTCTTGCATCTGTGATTCCCTGACTGGCTGGCTGCTTGCAGCAACTCCGGCACTGAAAAAGCTTATCACTTCCTAACTGTATTATTATTATTTTTTTACTCTCTTCCTCCCGCCACCCTTCTCGCTCTTCAGCAAAGCATGTGACTGTTTCTATTTATTTATCAGCGCTGCTGGTTGGGTTGCTGGAAGTGGGGTCCTTTTATTTGTTGATAATGTTTATTTTCTGGTGCTGTAAAGGGAACCAGAAAGGAGGAGGATGCCGCCTTCATTTGTGTGCAGCATGGAGAGCCTGCCCGTTGGACAGTTTTCTAATTTATTTTGGTTTTTTTTTTTTTTTTAAATGCAGTTTGACTTCTGCGTAGGCAGCTGGCCTTAAACTGAAAAGGCTGTTGAAAGATGCGTTTTAACTAGACCGGTCCAGCAAATCAAATTTAGTGCATTCTCACAACTCATCCATTACTCTGGTTCAAGCATTACATGATCTGTAAATGTAGGGCAAAATTGGGGGGGGGGATTTTTTTTTTTCCAAATTCAGCTTCTACAACCACCATTGAGACCAAATTTTTTTTTTAAAAAAATTGATTTATATGCCGCCCTTCTCCGGAGACTCAGGGCGGCTTACAATGTGCTAAGCAATAGCCTTCATCCTTTTGTATATTTTATACAAAGTCAGCTTATTGCCCCCACAAACTGGGTCCTCAATTTACCTACCTTAGAAAGGATGGAAGGCTGAGTCAACCTTTATGTTAAGTGAGACATTCGTTAAGTGAGTTTTGCCCCATTTTATCATCTTTCTTGCCTCCGTTAAGTGAATTATTCCAGATGTTAGTCACACGGTTGTTAAGTGAATCTGGCCTTCCCCACTGCTTTGTTAGAAGGTCGCAAAAGGGGATCACATGACCCCAGGACACTGCGCCCGTCGTAAATATGAACCAGTTGCCAAGCGTCTGAATTTTTATCACAGTTAAGTGAATCATTGCAGTTGTTAAGTTAGGAGCTCTGTTGTTAAGTGAATCTAGCTTCCACATGGACTTCGTTGGTTAGAAGGACGCAAAAGGAGATCACGTGACCCCGGGACACTGCAACCGTCATAAATGTGAGTCAGTTGCCTTAACACAGTGTTTCTCAACCTTGGGAACTTGAAGATGAATGGACTTCAACTCCCGGGTGGACAGGAAGTGACGTTTTTTGCTGTCCCCAGCCGCCAGAGAAGTCACTGCACTGTCCAGTCTCTTCTTAAAAACCTCAGCCGGTTCGGATCGGTTCACCTGAACCGGTAGCGGAAATTGTGGTGGGCCCAGCCACCTGCCTCGGCTCTATGCCATCCTATTGACTAGTGCATGAAGCAAGAAGGTGCGCGCAGGCCAAACCGCTAGCATCATATGAATCCCACCGCTTCCTCCAATGATGGAGCACCCACAACTTCTGGTGGCAAGCTGTTCCACTGGTTACTTGTCCTCAGTGTTAGGAAGTTTCTCCTTAATTCCAGGTTGCTTCTCTCCTTGATTAATTTCCATCCATTTTTTTCTTGTCTTGCCTTCAGGTCCTTTGGAAAATAAATGACCCCTCCCCTCTTTGTGGAAGCCCCTCAAATATTAGACCACTGCTATCCTGTCCCCCCTAGTCCTCCTTTTCTCTAGAGTAGCCATACCCCAAGACCAGGGGTGTCAAACTCGATTTCATTAAGAGCTGCATTAGGGTTGTGTTTGACCTCGGAGGGCCGGGGTGGGTGGCCATGGCAGGCATGACACGGGACTCGTGTCGGGGGCACTTGTGGTGGCCAAGTGCTAATGCAGGACTTCCAACTCTCAGGGTGGATAAAAATCAATGATTTTTTAAAAAAAATCAAAAAAATCAGATTTTTTTAATTTCAATCGGATTTTTTTGATTTTTATCGAATTTATTTTAATAAAAAACTTGGGGTAAAAGTCTATCGTAAGATAGTTTTCTATTTAAGATACATAAATAATTTAGTTTATTCAGCATGAAATGGAGCTTAGTTATGTAGCAGGAGGCTGTATATTCTGCAACACTGGG